AGAAAACGGAAGGCTAATTGGATTGGTCATGTTTTACGCAGAAACTGCCTTCTAAAAGAAGCTATCGAAGGAAAGATAGATGGGCGGATAGAAGTGACAAGAAGACGAGGAAGAAGACGTAAGAAGATGCTGGATGACCTTGGGGACAGAAGAGGATACGGTCATTTGAAGGAGAAAGCTCTAGATCGCATTAAGTGGAGGAATTGTTTTGAAAGAGACTGTGGACCTGTCGTCTTGACAGATTACTGATGATGATGATGATGATGTTTAATGTTATTTTGCTATACTAGCCTCAAGATTTACAGTCATAGAATTCCCTAACAACTAACAATAAGTACTTTATTTTTTCAAGACATGTAAGGAGTACTAAAATTTGTGTGTTCAAATTTAATATTTTTTATTTAAGAAACTAAGGAAGCCATTAATTTAAAACCATCTGGTAGGTGGATTTTCACGATTTAAATACTATATCCTATGCTGTCTACCTGTATCTGGATTTAGGGGACATAAATAAATTGAATAATTGAACCATCAGACCAAAATTGTTAATTTATATTTTTTTGATTGCTTTAATTATGTATCTGTACATACTAGCTTTGCCTATATGTCCATATTGACAAAAGATTTATTGAAATCAAAATTGAAATGTATGCAGCTTTGATAGGTAATTTTGGAAAATCTCTTTGTCAGTTAATAATGATAATTTTCCTAAATGACTGGGAAAATGATGAGTAAATTTCCCAAGACATCGGTGTACAACTAACATCCTAAGTACATGAAACCTTCTAAGAACCAATATGAAAGTTGACACACTACGAGGGACTGTGTTCTTCACAGAACTTTGATTACAGGTCCGATTGAATGTCCGATCAGTAAATGACTTTGAATGGCTAAAACAGTGTCGTTTTTACTTCAAAGAGGACATAGACAAGACTCTGATTTCTATAACAGATGTGACATTCACATATCAGAATGAATACCTTGGTTGTACAGAGCGCCTTGTGATCACTCCACTTACAGACAGGTACAAATGTTTCATTCTCTCCATTTTCAAGAAATTCCACTTTTCAATAGCAATTTAAAGTGATATCCAGCAAGGGTTCAAGAAATTTAAAATTTTCACCATATGTATGTGTATCAGAGGAGGTGTGAGAGCTATTATGAAAGCAAGAAGAATATGTTGCCCCCAGAATTACTCAGGGGAATATCAGTTACTTTGGCTAGACAGTGGCTCTTGGGTTTTATACTATTCTGTAAAGCGATACACTCAAATTAAATCTTTGCAAAAATCTGCATCTTCCTCTGAGCATGTTCTGTAGTTAAGAGCCTGATTGTCTCTTGGCAATCATACATTGATCTCTCTATTCCACATATAAACAACAATGTTATACATGTGATATTCAATTAATAAGAAGAGAAATGTGCAATTAGTATTGCATTCTGTTTGACATGGTCACTGATTTGTGCTAGATTATTGTTGAAAAAATTTATTCCTTTTTTAATTAAATTTATAACTGTGTACAAGAAGACCCAAAATAGGCTTTTCTTGTTCAAAATTTGTAACTTTATAGACTTTTTTATTATAAAATTTTCATTGCAGCAATTTTCTATATTTCAAGATATTCACAGCTGTATGATCTGAGCAAATCTCGGAGCTGTTTGGCACAAAGTACCTTGGATAGACGTAAAAGGATTCTGATTATGGTGTATACGGTGTATACTGTACTTCTTTTGGCTTGTTTTGGACTTCGTCCATTATCTGGTATGTAAAAGACAAAAGACCCCAATGTTTTGGAGACTGGATCTATCTCCGTCCTTAGGTGGGTATGGCAGGATAAACCTACTCAGTTGGGCCCATTGGTCTTTTGTCTTTTACATACCAGATAATGAATGTAGTCAAAAACAAGCCAAAAGAAATACAAAGTACCTGACTTGTATGTGTAATTATCAGGTCCTTCCCCTGTATAACAAATAATCACAGTGTTTGTTAATAATGTTATTGCAGTAACTGTAAAAGATAGATCATTAAAAGTACAGTCAATGAGTGGTTAACCACTTTATTTTTTAAGTATGGAATGCATATGAGTATTTAACAATAAAAACATTTTACAGGTGTTATATTACTCTTGCACAAGCACTGGCCATGAGTATGGGAGGCTCTCCTTGTGGTCCTGCAGGTACAGGAAAAACAGAGACAGTGAAAGATATGGGCAAGACTCTAGGAAAATATGTTGTGGTATTCAATTGTTCAGATCAGATGGACTACAGAGGCCTGGGTCGTATTTACAAAGGTGGGGAGCATAAGATTAGTTCCTTGATAAAGATCTTGTATATTAATATTTTATATGTAAACTATTAAACCATGTCATTATTGTATTACTGTAAGTAAAATATGCATTCACCAGAGTCACCATGAGATTAATACTTATATTCTTTTCAGCCAAAGTACATTGCAGAAAGCTGAAACTTACATATAAAATCAGTATATGTATAATTTCATATACTGTATTTTTCCATTGGTTCTCTTTTTATGTTGATAGTTTATGATATTAGGATATTGGCATACATTCTTTTCATTATCCCTATCCCGCATCTTGGCACTGATGGTTATGGCAGTTTATTGTGGATGGGTTCTCTTCTGGTATTACCACTTTACTAAGCAACTAAAAGTGCTGATAATTTTTCATTCTTTTTCTATGCTACCCATTCAGTTATTTGCACTGTGAGAAAATATAAATTTTGTGTTTCACATCATTGTTGATTATGATTAATTGCTAGGTTGAAATATGTTAGAATATTTGAAAACCTATATCCGGATGCAAGAACTTAAAAGTCAGAGCTGAAAGTTGTGTTGTTTTCCTTTATACATCACTTCTATAAGTGATGGCTGTGGTATATTATTTTGTGGACATCCTCCATACATCTTAAAACTAGCAAATCCCATTACAGAGGACAGTTAATTGGTTATTAAATTAATATCAGAACCTCTTTCGCTTTTCAGGTTTGGCACAGTCAGGTTCATGGGGCTGTTTTGATGAGTTCAACCGCATAGAGCTACCAGTGCTGTCAGTAGCAGCCCAGCAGGTAGCTGTAATTCTTAATGCACACAAAGAGAAGAAACAACAGTTTGCCTTCACTGATGGAGATGTGATTGATATGTGTCCAGAATTTGGTATTTTCATTACAATGGTAAGGTCATAGCATAGCATTTCCTTTATTGTGAGAGGTAATGTTGTTTCTGTGCATATGCAGCACACTGCACTGTATATGAGGGGTGGTGGTGAAACTTAGTAGAGGTGAATTATAAACATCGCACTTCAGATTCTGTAACCCTGGTGAATGTGCCCCTGACATCTATTGTATCAAATGTTGGATGACCCTAGGTCCAGTCTGGATGTGGTGTTGAAGAAAATTATCCCTGTCCCTCCCAAGATTCAAATCCCAGCTAGCCAATCTATATCTGGTGTCTTTACTTACTGAGCTGTTGCAGCCCTCACAACTTCCATTATGACATGTAAGATAAAGTTGTTCCTGTGCTTGAGCAATTAAGTACTGCACCATAAAGGCATATAGGGTAGTGGATGTATATATCCACATTGTCTTGACCTCAGCATTAGTTTGCCCCTGTCACTTTACTCCTGGGGAAAGAGCTGCTGGTGTCCATTGGATAGGAGGCTGGGTGGGGCCCAGAGTTGGTCTTGGCAACGTGGAGAAGAGGAAATTCTTGACCCTGCTGGGTCTTGAACTCTGATCCCTCAGTTACTCAGCCCCTAGCCAGTCAATATACCAACTAAGCTATCCTGTCTCACATATGGTAACTAAATCAATCAGAATTTTCACTTGCTCAGATTCCAGTCTGTATCCCATGATATTTGAGAAAGAGCTATACCTGACATACATGCCAAATACATATCTCATATAAAGGAAAACTGCGCGTGTTATGCATATGTGAAAATTTTAAAATTGGAAAAGGGAATGAGCAGGCCTACAGAGAGACCTGTAGAAGATAACTCGAGATATTTCTTCTATTTTCTGAACTGATTTCAATTCAGTGAAGTATTACAGCAAATGGATGTAATTATAGTCCATTTAACATGAGAAGAAAACGTATATTCCAGTGAATACATATATTTTCTAAATGTTCCCTGCACTGTTTAGCATCATACTTCAATCACTGTGATGCTTATTTATTGCACATAAAAATTTGCCACCATTAAGAATCACACTATGGGTACAGTGCATAATCATAAATTACTTTTCCTTGTATTTCATTAAGTATTCACATATCAGAACATGTCTGAGTTAAAAATTGCATACCAGAATGAGCTTCATGCTTTATTTTCTGCTCTATTTTTTCTACACTGAGCTGTGTTTGAGGAAACTGAAAACATTCTATTTCAACTTTCTATAAAGTGAGGCTTATTTTGTACCAGTATGAACCAAAATTAATTTTACAGCAACATACAGATGCCACTATTCCACTAATCTTGAATGTGTACCAAAAGTTGTGATCATGTGACTGGAACTTATCCTTTCAGGCTAGTAGTGCCTTCCTAGGGCCAGTGCTGATGTACAGCAGGATAACTCAATTGCAGTAGCTGAAGTAACTGAAGTCTGTGTATAGTACTTGGTATAATTCAGTACCACAGCTTCTGTAGACTGTCTCAAAACGGATGGACATTTTACTTTTAGTGCTGTAGTATTTCAGTGCTACTGACCAAATTTTTATGCATTTGCCAGATACTGGAGAAAAAATAGGAGTACAATGAGACAGTACATCAGCTATTCATAGACTTCAAGAAAGCCTATAATTGAGTTAGAAGGGAAGTATTTTCATAGAGTTGGGGTACCCATGAAACTAGTTAAGCTAATTGAAATATGTTTAAATGAAACTTTAAAGTCTATATAAGTAAACATTTGTCTGATATGTTTCCTATCCAGAATGATCTAAAACAAGGAGATGCTTTATCAATGTTGCTTTAGAATATGCCATTAGCAAGGTCCAGAAAAAAGCAGGTGGGACTGAAATTAAATGACACACATCAGCTGCTAGTCTGTGGTGATGATGTGAATCTACTGTGATAATATAGGTACCAGAGGCACTATGTTACAAGCCGGAAGGTTGCAGGTTCAAGTCCCGATGAGGTCATTGGATTTTTTCACTTAGCCTAAACCTTCCAGCCACACTATGGCCCTGGGGTCAACTCAACTTCTAACAGAAATGGGTACCAGGAATTAATTAAATAATTTTCCTGGGAAGTAAAGTGCGACCAGCGCATAAGGCTGACAACCTTACTGCCATCTTTGAGCCTATTGTCTAGATAATGTGGGATCCTCAACGTCTCACAACCCTATGGTCCTTCACGGCCTGTTACAGGGATAGCTTTACTTTACTTACTTACTAAAGAAAAACACACTCACTTTAATTTATGCTAGGAAGGAGAACAGTCTAGAAATAAACACAGGGAAAAGTATGTATGAGTATATGTTGCTGTCTCATCACCAGAATGCAGGGCAAAATCATGACTTAAAGGTAGCTAACTTTTTTTTGAAAATGTAGCACAGATAAGATATTTGGGAACAACTATAACAAATCAAAACCTGATTCAGGAGGAAATTATGAGGAGATTTAATTCAGGTAATGCTTGCTACCATTCAGTCCAGAGTCTTTCATCTTCTTGTCTGCTGTCTAAAAACATAAGAATTAGAATGTGCAAAACCATAATTTTGTCTGTGGTTCTGTATGGGTGATGGGTGCAGAACTTGGTCTCCAACATTAAGGGAGGAACATAGACTGATGGTGTTCGAGTACAGAGTGCTGAAGAGAATATTGGGAATGAAGAGATATGAAGTGACAGAAGATTGGAGAAAACTGCATAATGAAGAGCTTCATAACTTGTACTCTTCACCAAACATAAATTAGAATTATGAAGTCAAGGAAGATGAGATTGGCAGGGCATGTAGCATGCGTGGGGAAAGCCAGAAGGAAAGAGATGACTAGGAGATCTAGACATAACTGGGTGGATAACGTTAAAATGGATGTTAGGGAGATAGAATGGGGTAGTATGGACTGGACTGACCTGTCTCAGGATAGGGACCAGTGGAAGGCTCCAGTTAATGATTACTTCCATGAAAATATTATTTATGTTAAATTTTGTGGCAATTTTATATCCAGAATCCTGGCTATGCTGGACGAAAAGAGCTACCTGAAAATTTGAAGATCCAGTTTCGGACAGTAGCCATGATGGTTCCTGATCGCCAGATTATTATCAGAGTTAAACTTGCAAGCTGTGGATTTCTGGAGAACATCACATTGGCACGCAAGTTCTACACATTGTACAAGCTTTGTGAAGAGCAGCTCACCAAACAGGTTAGCCATAGATTGGTTATGGAAGGAAATCAGCAAGAATAGTCTATGTATGTAATTGCAGATTCTCTTGGTTCACTGGCATGGAAAAGGTCCAGTTAGAGAGAATACCATCTTGCTGTCCAGGGCCTGGAATACGAGGGGGTACCCAAAAGAAACCAAACGTATTATTTTTTAAACTTATTTATTCAAATTTTAAGCACAAACCTTCAATCCCCTTCAAAGTACTCTCCACTTACACTAATACACTTGTCTAGTCTTTTATTCCATTTTTCAAAACATTGTCTAAATTCATCTTTTGAGATGCTTGACAGCGCCTCCATTGTTTCTTCCTTTCATGTCTCTTTTCATTCGAGGAAACAAAAAAAAGTCGCACGGGGCAAGGTCGGGTGAGTATGGAGAGTGAGGAACAGGGGTCATACCATTTTTGGTCAAGAATTGTCATGCAGACAGGGCTGTGTGAGCAGGGGCATTGTCATGATGGAAAAACCAGTCACCCGACTGCCACAAATCTGGCCGCTGAGCTCCAAGTCACTCCCGACAGCTCCACAATTTCTTCAATGGTCTGTTGTCGATCTTCCTTGATGATTTCACGAACTTTTTCAACATTTTCATGTGTTCGGGCCATGGAAGGATGACCAGAACGAGGTTTGTCATCAATTGACATTTCACCATTTTTGAAACAGGAAAACCACTCAAACACTTGAGTTTTCCCCATAGCATCGTCCTTGTATGCCGTTTTTAACATTTCAAGAGTTTCTGTTCCACTTTTCCCGAGCAAAAAGCAGAATTTCACCGCCGCACGCTGTTCACGAAAATCAGCCATTGCAAAAACGACAATCACACAAAACAGTTGTCACTATAAACTCTGCCAAAACTAGTCCTTACCTTCTGAAGCAAGGGTAGTTGGCTTATCGACTCAGGAATGTTAGCTCTATGCGCTCATAGCGGCAAAACGCGGTACTACAAAAGCTCTGCCCACAAAAAAATTAGTTCGGTTTCTTTTGGGTACCCCATCGTATATTCTGTCCCCAAAACCTGATGAATTTGCTATTTTCAGAGATCATCTGAAATGTGACTCATACATTCAAGTAATTATATGGAGAAATTCTGAGTTATGTTGAATATTAAAACACTTTAGGAATGGAAATAATATAATAAACAAACACTTACATACAAGGATTTCACTGAAAGGAATTTGATTCATATTGTAGTTACTATAGGATTCTGACGATGGTGTATAACACACAGAGATATTGGGTTTTCGGTCCAGAGACCCAACAGAATAGGTGTTTTTCCCTCACCTGAGGACAGAAACAGATCAAGTTTCCAGGACGATGGATAAAGTCTGAAAACCTAATATCTCTTTGATTCATATTGCAAAATTGGGCTTTAAGTCTGTTATGAAACACGTTCTGATTTTTACTTGCACTGAGAGTGACTCTTAAATTTTTAGCAATGATTTTCAACTGCATCACTTAAATAATATATCATGGTAGGACAAGTCTTATTGATGAAATGGAAAGGATGTGAAATGAAGTGGCTGTGGCACTTTTTTTATATACTGTCTTTACATTTGCCTGGTGAGGAAAATAAAAATTCTCAGTTATGAGAGCTAGTCTTCTGGCTAAGAATAGAATGCAAGCACCTCCATAATGCAAAGCAGGAGTGCTAACTACTTAATTATAATGTTCAGTTTTACATTGAGAGGAAGTGTTTTAATGTATTGTGCTATATGTGCCAAGGAAGAATATGAGATGTGTCTTGCATGCTTTAACTTCATGTATTACATCATTTATAACAAAACATTTGTTGTATTCTCTTTAATTTAGGCTGTATTTATGAAAATATGGTGACCGAAGGGCACCTTGTATTATGAACCTTTACCTTTGCAGAAAAGTAATTCTCATAGTGGAGAGCTTATTCATAATGTCATTCTTATAAGTAGGAACAAAACATGCATGTACATAAGTATCCAAATCTATGAGTATTTAATTTTATTGTTTGATTGTGATTCATATTATCTGTATGATTTATATTTGCAGTTTGATCACGAGTTCCAAGTTAATATATGAACTTCCCAACATAATTAATTATTTTCTTTGTTCATTCACATATCATTCCAAACCAAAAGATTTTTATATTATATTTAAGCATCCTGTTACATTCCACACTTCTATATGTATAATATAAACTCCATCGTAAATGTAACACTTTATTGTAGTTCTTGTCCCCCTCCTTTCTCACTACTTGTTTTGGCTGCAACTGGCCATCATCAGGTGTATTTCACTTCACGTAGCTGTCACACTGCACTCAATATTAACATTTAAACTCCAGATTTCAATTGTTCATTGCTCTGTCATCACCCGATATTCCAGAACTTGCCTTGTCGATTTTTATATTTAAAATCTTTTATTATTCACGCGTCGATTGGTTTAAATTTTTTTTTATTTCCCAATATAGTTTTAATATTTTAAAATTTAAATTTTAAATTTAAATCAACATAACAGAGATACCTGCTCTATGCTTATATGTGCTGCAGCGGCTACCTCTTGCTTTCAGCACAACTCGCATGTTATCTGTAATATACAAATATTCGTGTTACTGTCTTATTTTCTTACATTAACCAAGAAATGAATAAAGAAAGCCACAAGGAAATAATACATATATTAAAAACAGTATTCAAACAAAATTATTTTCAAATCGACCAAGAATACTATAAACAAACAGATGGACTAGCTATGGGAGCCCCAACATCAGCAATAATAGCAGAAGCATATATATAATATATGGAACACACACAAATATATCCTATTCTAGTAAAACAACAAATAGTGGCTTACTTTAGATATGTCAATGACATATTAATAATATATGATGAAAAGATAATGGACATAGAACATACTCTCAAAGAAATTAACGAATTGCAACCAACTATAAAGTTCACCATTGAAAAAGAACAACAAGAATCTATTAATTTTTTAGATATAACAATACATCGTAATGAAGATAGCTTGCAATTTGCAATATATGAGAAACCCACACAGACAGACATCATAATACCTAACAGTTCGTTTCATTTCATTTTTATTATCATTCAACAGTCCATACATACAGGTATTACAACCATTTGGAAAGGGAAATTGTCAGTTTTACATCTAATTCTCGTGCATATCTTTACAGTATACACTGTACCACCCTAATATAAGGGGTTTGTCATCTGAATAATATTATCTAGATCTAGTTGCCATTAATTTCATTGTCTTTACACAAATACAACAAATTAATCAGCTACATATTACATTTACACACTTGATGAATCAAAAGACATAAATTCATCTACAGAATAAAAGAAATGTTTCAACAAAAAAGATTTTAATTCCTTTTTAAATGAGTTAAAATTTTCCGTTTGTTTTATTTGATTGGGGACCTTATTATACAAACTAATTCCCACATTTATNATTTTAGGGTTTCTGTCATGTGAATTCCAAGAAATCTCAATTCTGACTGATATACAATTTCTGTATTATTAAAAACTATTTGTGGTCTTAACGGATCTCTCCGCTGTTTTGAATGAAATGACATCGCAGATGTCTTTTTAGTATTTATTACAAGGTTATTTTTTGAAACCATATTTCTAATTCTTTCATAACATTCATTATTTTATATTGAAGGTCAAGTTCATCTTTTCCAGTAATTAACACATTGGTATCATCTGCATATCAACCCAGCTTTGCTCCTTGAACATTTTCTGTAAGATCATTAATGTGTAGTAAAAATAAGAGTGGCCCCAACACTGATCCCTGTGGTACACCATACTTCACTTTCCTACATGATGAATTATAACTGGTTTTGACACTGCCGTTCATGCCATCCATTTGAGCACAAATTGTCAGGTATTAACTATCTAATAAACAGACTCTACACATACCCAATAACGGAAAGAGAGAAACAGGTAGAAAAGAACACTATTAAAAACATACTACATAACAATGGATACAGCACAAACATAATCAACAGACAAACTCAGACAAAATGAAAACAAAAATCAAACACACACGATGACAAACAACACCAAAAAACAAAGTGGGCCATATTTACATATAGTACAAAAGAAGTACGAAAAATTACGAAACTTTTCAAAGACACACATATAAAAGTAGCATTTCGCACACGGAACACAATTGAAAATATACTTAAACATAAACCACAATTAGATAAATGTAATAATAAACGTGGTATATACCAAATGAAATGTGTAGATTGCCCATTAAAATACATTGGACAGACAGATCGAACATTTAACACCAGATATAAGGAGCATATGCACGATATTAGAAATAATAATAGCAATTCTGAATACTCAAATCACATGCTAAACAAGGGACATACATACGGAACAATAAGAGACAAAATGGAAGTTATAACAACGGGGAAGAAAGGTAGATATTTGAATACACTAGAAAAATACCATATATATAAAATAAGTAAGAAGGTCCTGCACATGAATGACACAAACATAGAAATACACAATCCCATATTTCAAACGATACACGAGATCTATACTGAGTAACGGTACAACCCCCTCCCCCCACTACCCATTCCCCTTCTACACTCAACAACATATAAACACAGCATTCAACACACCAGACAGCAAACATATTAAAGAAAAGCAGTGGCACACACACACAGAGAATCTGCACAAAGCAAGTACACTTAACAGTATAAAATATATAGGAATAACGTAAGAACATAAGACAGCGACACGAATATTTGTGTATTACAGATAACACACAAGTTGTGCTGAAAGCAAGAGGTAGCTGCTGCAGCACATATAAGCATAGAGCAAGTATCTCTGTGATTTTGATTTTAAATATAAATTTAAATTTTAAATTTTAAAATATTAAAACTAAATAGGGAATTAAAAAGAAAAAAGAAAAAAAAAAGAAAGAATTTTAAACCAATCAACGCGTGAATAATAAAGATTTTAAATATGAAAATCGACAAGGCAAGTTCTGGAATATGGGGTGCCGATTGACGACAGAGCAATGAACAATTGAAATCTGGAGTTTAAATGTTAATATTGAGTGCAGTGTGACAGCTACGTGAAGTGAAATACACCTGATGATGGCCAGTTGCGGCCAAAACATGTAGTGTGAAAGAAGGGGGACAAGAACTACAATAAAGTGTTACATTTATGATGGAGTTTATATTATACGTACAAAAGATTTTTGTCATAAGAATTACTTTGGTTTGGATTGTTGAATTATATTCATTTCTTTATTCTTTCACTGCTGATATTGTTTCAGTTTGTATCCTACAATTTTCAATATATATCTGTACACAATTTGCAATTCTGGAACTTTTCCACTTGAATTTAAAACAAGCATAAATTTCAATGAATACATTTATATCCTGTAACTGGGGTAATTTACAGACTCAAAGGTAGAATAATGCCAAAAAGTACATATTTGAAATGATAGAAAATAATAGTTAAATCAGTTTTAATATATTATACTGAGGCAGAGACATGGGGTGATGGGGTAAAAGGAGAACAGAAATGGTAGAAATTAGAATTTTGAAGATTATATACTGTTGAAGAGATTATTACATAAAGGAAGATACAGACAAACCGTAGATACAATGGTTGAAGAGATGTTGCAGAGGATGGCATGGTAATGTAAACATAGTGGTAAAGATAAATAGGAATGAGATGCTGGAAAGAGGCCAGCACAGAAAATAAGTTGCCTGATCTGTAAAGAATAGAAGGAGAAGAAGTTTGTGTAACATAATTGAAGTAACCCTTTCTCTCTGATATCACAGGTTCATTACGATTTTGGCCTGCGGAATATCCTGTCTGTGCTGCGGACTTTAGGGGCTGCCAAGAGAGTTAATTCTAAAGACAGTGAGAGCACAATTGTGATGCGAGTTCTTCGTGATATGAACCTCTCAAAACTCATTGGTATGTAAGCTCAGTCCATGCTGATTTGCAAACAAAGGGAGGGGGCTAAATATCTGCATTTCCCTGACTGAAGGCAAGGCCATATTGCAGCTGGCTGGAAAATACATGAGAGAAGTTCATTTAATGTTATTTTGTTCTTTGGGTCGAATTTTAATGTTAATATTTTTTTTTAATTGCAGATGAGGATGAGCCACTTTTCATGTCACTGGTGTCAGATCTTTTCCCAAATCAGGTGCTGGAGAAAACTGCATATCCTGAGCTAGAAGCAGCCATTGAGCAGCAGGTAGAAGAAGCAGGACTTGTATATCACCCACCTTGGGTGTTGAAATTGATTCAGGTAGGGCTATGAATCATTAAACCATGCACGGGTCCTAATTACTAAACATGGCAGCTCAGCATTTTAAGATGTTGTCTCATTAAGGCTAGCTACAGTTAGATCCCTACATCAGCCTAGGTTAGGATTTCCATATGTTTTCCCAGTTTTATTTGTTATGCTCCTACAAGTATGCAATGGCAGATTTCAGATACCTGAGGGGAGTTTATCTGCGTTGTGAATTAACTGTGGAGCTTTTCCGTGTTACATGGGTCCCTTGTCACCATAGCATGGTGCATCCTCAGGTTGCAGATGGAGGAGAAGGCCTCCAGATATGGAGAACAGCTGTGAATATATAGAATAAGCAGTCATGGACAGCCAACATGTTCATGATAATATTTGTGATGTGGATGGCACAACATTTGGTAAACACCCCCCCCCCCTTCCAGCAGTGATGTAACATCATTGGAGCAACTGCTGCTGCCATGGTAACAGGCCTATCAACACTCCATCCCCCTGCCCTGTGGTGACGTAACAGCACTTCCCACAATGGCGTAACAGGGGACACCGCAGTTACTATGCATCAATAAACAACTCTTGGCAGCGTTCCCCAGCAACGCCTGTAAACACGGGGTTTACGCAACAGTGAAGCGATGTGGGTTTTCCGCTGTCCGACTGAGGCTTTATAAGAGTTACTAGAGAGAAAGTAACGAGTGAGTTGCAGTCTAGTATTTGCCAGAGTGAATGAAAGCAGGAGAAGTTTTGTGAAAATGCAGATGGCAGTAATTGTGAAACTGTGATCTGTGTAATTGTAAGAGCGAATGTGGAATAAATTCGCTATATCCAAAACGGTGTGAAGTTATTTGTCGCGTTACATACCAAACACATGACAATTTGGTGTCAGAAGTGCTTCACAAACTTAAACACGCCTCGATCTAGGAAGAATTATTGAATTCAGAAGTACATCGAGTGTTATCCTGCCAAAAAGAAAATTGAGAAGAAAGATATGCAGTGAAAAATCGAAAGGCTGGTGAAGGCAGAGACTGACAAAATAGCTGACAAGGGAAAAATGAGGGCCAATTCAAAAGCCTGGCGAGAAGAGATGGCAACAGAAAGAAGAGCTATCCGAGCAAGGACGGAAGCCATGCGAAAAAGGACAGATGCCAGCCACAAGGAGGTAGTGGCCAAATTTAAACCCAAAACAAAGGATACCTGAAAAGAGATTATGGCCTGCTGAGAAACAATGGAGGCGCATCTAGAAGAGCTAGAGCCGACCTCAGTGGAAACGATACCTGAGGTGGCAAAACAAGATGAAGTCCCCAATGTAGATGCTGTAATGAAACCGGTCAAAGGACGGAAGAGGAGGTACAGGGGCAAGGAGCAAGCTGCAGGGCAACGCAGAGAGCTGAAGAAACTGACCTGAGGAGACTGTGGATCCCAGATGAATTTGGCTGCCACCTGCAGGAAGGTGTCCCGCCGTGCAACAGTGGCATGATGCAAAAGAAACATCTTCAGGAAATCTACGACCCAAGGAAAGTGTGGACCATGGCATGAATTGGCTGCTGACAGAAATATGACTAGCCATGCAGGTGTGACACAGCACAAGGGAGATTTCATAAGGAAATATTCAACCAGGGTCAATACTGAACAAGAAACCTGGAAAGTAAGAATGAGAATAAATAATATAGGCGGCAGATGGCCGCAATGCCAGAAGAAAAAGGTGCCAACCAAGGACACCATCAGAGGGTGTAGACCAGGACAGCAATTGCACCTAGGAGGGAGAAGAACTCTTAAGAAGACCATCTATGAGATTGTCAGCGTGAAGATCGTGAAGCAAATAGTCAGATCTTCTGTTAGCCTATGACAAGACAAGGATTGAACACTGTGGAGGGGTCGACCCCCTTCGAAATGAAGAAAATGGAATAGCACAGAGGAGGAGCCGGTAATGTAGAAGCACCGGTCTTCCCAATGAGATGAATGAGGAGTGAATGAGCAACGAGTGAACATGAAACGACGGTATCAACAACTGCTGGACCATGGAATTGCTCAAGATGAGCATTTTTAAAAAAGGGGAGCGGAGGTAGGAACCCAAAGATGAACACCAGAGAAGAAAAATAGAACAGGGATGTACCACTAGGCTGTTCGGGACGAACAACCTTTAGAAGGCAGTAATGTGATGTGGATGGTGCAACACTTGGTAAACACCCCCCCTCCAGCAGTGATGTAACATCATTGGAGCAACTGCCGCTGCCACGGTAACAGGCCAGTCAACACTCCGTCTCCCTCCTCCATGGTGACATAACAGCACTTCCCACAGTTACGTAACAGGGGACACCGTGGTTACTATGCAGCAATAAACAACTCTCGGCAGCATTCCCCAACAACGCCTGTAAACACGGGGTTTACGCAACAGTGAAGCGATGTGGGTTTTCCACTGTCTGACTGTGGGTTTATAAGAGTTACTAGAGAGAGAGTAATCAGTGAGTTGCAGTCTAGCATTCGCCGGAGTGAATGGAAGCAGGAGAAGTTTTGTGAAACTGCAAATGGCAGTAATTGTGAAACTGTGATCTGTGTAAATGTAAGAGCAAATGTGGAATAAATTTGCTTTATCCAAGACGGCATGAAGTTATTTGTCACGTTACATACCCAACATGTGACAATATATTACTATGAGTATTTAATATTTTCATGAAGCAAATTATTCATGAGGGTTGTTATAAATGTAGTGATGGGTTATGTGTGATTCTGAATTATGCATAGATGTTTTTCCCTCTGTTACTCTGGATAATCAAGATTGTTTTCTTGTAAGAAAATGGTATAGACACCGACATCAGAAAGAATCACGTTTGTTAACCGTTCAGCATGGTTTGACGTGTATGTTTCGTCAAGGTATTTAAATCGTCTGGGGGGGTTCGACGTCAATGTTTCGTCCAGCTGCACACCTATGTTATAACGCCCATAATAATTGATGGTTTTGCTGTAGATTGTTAGATTTTTCGCTGGCCTGTTGTCAGGAGAACTATATTTAAGAGCGCTAAGTCATCGTTACATATGCCTGTCTTGCAGCAAATTCCTGTTGCTTCTGGTAGAACTTTCCTCCTCCAAGCTGTTATGAAGGGCGTGTTTTCTTTCCTATGAAGTTATAAACAGCAGAGACGTGATATGTGCTGTGTTTATAATATCATATTGCCCTGAGCTGGCCACACTAACACACTCAATTGGAATTCTTAGAAGAGGGATGTCCAAAAATTTATTCTTGCGAGATCGATTGATTTCGCACAGTACATAGCACCCAGTTCTTAGAAAAATGTCACGAATTAAGGCAGAACACTGTGGTCACCCCCTATGACGTAACTGGTGTGTGTGTGTGGGGGGGGGGAAAGAACTCATTCCTTCATGTACTATTGCTCCAGTTGACGCCATTTTATCGTACTGACCTTGGTGGTCGTTTCGAGGGATGACCATGAATATTTTTTTTGAGCCAGCTAAGCTCTGCTTTCGTGCACTACATACCAGCCAGTTCTTAGAATAANGCTCATATTATAAAGCAAGGTTATAAAACCACCTTTTAAGATCATTTTAGTGAAAGTTTCGTGTTCCTATCTCATAGAATTTAAGAACAATGATGAATAAATCATTTTCGAGCAAAATTTAAATGGCCGGCTGAATATATTACCGCCGGAGAGACACGGCAGCGGAATTTAAATCACCGCACGAAAGGCTTAAACAAGTATTTTTTATATATAAAAGACATCATTTGTGAGATCTAGGCATACTTTGGAAGATTTTAGTGGACTGAATCCAACAGACCCAGAATAGGATCCAGTTGTGGACTTTTATGAATACAGTGATGAATCTTAAAGTTCCATAAAATGAAGGCATTTTGTTCACAAGCTGCATAGACATCACAGTTTCAAGGACAATATATTCAGTCTATAGCTAATTAGTGGTTAAGTATGTTAACTGCTTGTTTACATAGTTGTTTCTAAATTATGATCAAATCATGCTATTATGAAGGTGAAAAGTCTTCAAATAGTGTATAATTTTGATTATTTCTTATCTTATCTTTGTAACAAAGAAAACCTTTGATCCAATCAAGATGCAGTAGAGTAACATATACCAAACATAAACTTCTAGATGAAGTGCTCAAGAAAAAAGCACATTTGGATATTCACAACTTTGTTATGTGGAGGTTTTAAGATTCAGAGTTGTTTTGTTTCATGTTTATCATGTCTGCATTGATTAATTTTCGATCTTTATTCCAAGTTTTATTGATTTTTACAGTTGTATGAGACGCAGCGTGTACGTCATGGCATTATGACACTAGGTCCAGCTGGTGCAGGAAAGACAACATGCATACACACATTGATGAAAGCACTTACAGCATGCGGTGATTATCACAGGCAAGTATCATGCAGATTTGTGACAAAGATGATGTAACTTTAGATACATATATTATGATAATATATTTGAAGTATTTTGTTGTACAGCATATGTAGCAGTTTCAGAAGAAGAGTCCAGTGTTGATACCTTTGTTCAGAGGAACTTCATAATCCATAGTATGTACATGTATTTAACTTACAGGGAGATGCGGATGAACCCAAAAGCCATTACTGCATCTCAAATGTTTGGAAGACTTGATGTGGCCACTAATGATTGGACTGATGGTATTTTCTCTGCTCTATGGAGGAAAACTCTCAAAGTGAAGAAAGGTGATGTGCCATCAATATTGCCCTTCCTTTGCCTGCATCTTCCAAGTGGTCTCTCACCTTGAGATTTATCCCACTTATTTATTCATCCTTAACTACAACACCGTGATAATAGTAGGTGTAAGTTATAGGTTTTATGGATAATTTCTCAGTTAGCTGAGTGACTACAAGCTTCTCAAGAAGAAATCTGCTCCATGGAGTTAGTTATAATAATGATTAATTATGAAGCTTCTCAGTTTTGTAGTATTTTTTCAACCAGTTTTGCTTCATCATTCTTAAGTCAAAATATGTTAATGAAAATTTCAAATTTTTGTCATATGAAGAATGGTGCCTAATATTAACAGAACATTTTGAATTATTGAACTGGAAATTTTCATGTGATTTGTTGTAGGAGAACATGTCTGGCTAGTGTTGGATGGGCCTGTGGACAGTATCTGGATAGAAAATCTTAATTCAGTGTTGGATGATAACAAAACTCTGACACTGGCCAATGGTGACAGGCTTTCCATGGCGCCTACCTGCAAGATCATCTTTGAGCCCCATAACATTGACAATGCTTCTCCAGCAACTGTTTCCAGGAATGGCATGGTTATTGCAAAACATTCTCTGTTGTGTTCTATATGCATTATATATTAAAACCTGTTAAATGCAGTTGATACATTTGTCATTCTTGCAGGTATATATGAGTTCATCTGGACTTAATTGGAAGCCAGTGGTTGGTGCTTGGCTTAAGTCAAGAAGCCCTAGAGAAAAGGAAGTTTTTCAGAAACTTTTCAATGACTCCTTTAGTGTCATGTACAGCTGGAGTACACAGAATCTGTGTTTAACTATGAAGGTCTTGCAAGCCAACATTATATGTCAGGTATTCTGTAATTCTTGTCTTTTTTCCTAGAGTCTTGGGTTATTTTGTGACACTGTTTCTGCTACATCAGTTTTTCTTTATCCTGTCTTAATAAGTGTTATTTAAAAATTTGTATAAGAACTGTTCTTTGCATACCTTGTATGTTTCCATCTTGTTAGAGTTTAGATTTTACTGAGCAGTAGAAACTGATCTGACCCACAGTACAATTTCTATAGATTGTTGATATTGTACTAAAAAGCTTATTGGTGAATACATAATCAGTACTGAATTTTATTTCTCTGCTTCACAAAGTATGCTTACAGATTTAACTTTCTGTCTAAAAACAGTTTATTATTTTAAGCTCATTCAAAGATACAAAATCTTAAGAATTTTCTATTATTATTTCAAAAATTTTCTCAATTTTTTCCAACTGCGTCCATAATAGGATTACTTCTGAATCATTCTTACTTATGTTCTGCAGAGTTTCATACAAATCAGAGGTGTCTTCATTTCATTCATTTTTCAGTTCATAATTCACAATGATGGTCATGTTATAGCACTGGATATTGTGCCACTTCCCATCCCCCCACTAAAATTGATAATCCTGCTGCTGCTCATGTATTTTTTGTTCAGTCTACTGTATATCATTTTACAGTCCTCTAATTTTTTTGTTTTTGTTTTGGTAATGGCTACAATATCCATATTATTAATTTTGTAGTAATTCTTCTAATTCTGACTCTCTATGACTGATGCCCATAGCATTCGAGATTCCTATCTCTAATGTTCTAGAAATTCCTAGTATTTTTTATCTTCAGTTTTTATCATGATTTGATTCTCTTTGTCTGTTATGAAATTGCCTTGGAGTATTTGACTAAAAGATAATTTCCTCTGAGTGTATTACTGATGCCTTGCAGAGTAAGACTGATGATGGTGCTGCAAAAGTCAATGACTTTACCATGAAAACGTCAATCTCTAACCATAAATAGTGGTCTTCCATATTTATGACCCTTGGAGAAATGTTGCCTCAGTATTTTGGCTCCCCAGTGTCAGAATCCTCTGCTGGCCCACACATCCTTATTCAGCATACTCAGCCCACCACATCAAATGGTGGGATCTTCCATCTTATCACTTGGTCAAAAGGGTATTTTGGAGGAAGTTGCATCAGCACATCGGTACTATAAGCCAACCTTCTGCACACAGAGGAAAGTAGTCGGACATCTCATTTGCTTTTGTTTAGATGCTGAAACTTCTGGAAGGACTTGTGCCAGTGCAATCAGCCGATTTAGAAGATACTGCAGAAGGGACTGAGAAGGAAGCAGAGCTGGATGAGGAGGGAGGTGAGGATGGTCGACAAAGACCAACTCCAGTGCCTCGTCGGCTGAGTGCTCAACACCTCCATCGACTGTACGTGTTTTCACTGGTTTGGAGCATTGGGGCTTTCCTTGATATTGCCGATCGCAAGAAGTTCAATGATTTCCTTCACGACAAACTAAGCTTTGTGCTTGACTTGCCAGAGACTAACAGGCTACCAGATGCAGTTGTATTCGATTTTGTAGTCAGTCAGCAAGGTGAGGATTTGGTGTTTGCAAATTTTATATACTAGTACCAGCAGTCAATTATGTATTGAATATACACATATTTTGTAAATATAATGGATGGCTGTTACAGATGTATAATGCTTTAAATTGGGTTGGATGCTGTCCTGTTTCTTTTAAATCAGAACCATCTCCTTATTACACTGTCTTGAATTGTGTAGTCATCATTGGCAGCCAATCATGGAGCAGTATGCAAAGAAGCATAAAGTGTCACAGTTAAGTGAGTGGTACACCCCTGTTTCAAATTTTTGAAGTCTTAGATTTAAAATATTGGTCCAGGTAACTTCTGTTGAGACTTATCCAGGTTTTTAAGATTTTTCTCATCACCTTCAGACAAATGCCAGGATATAACCCCAGATTAGGCTACAGTTACTTCCTTCCACAACAATTTCCAATTCATGATCCACTAATCATCATGTCCTTCCATATTGCATGATCTGAACTCCTGAAAGCGTTGTTAAGTAAATAAAGAATAATTAAATAAGTAAAAACAAAACTCCGTTAGACACTCGAAGGAAATGCATAGATATTTTTGAAAGAGAAATATAATACAATTTGAGGAATCATTGACCAGACAGTTTTTCCTTGTTATTGTTTATGCTGAAAGTGTATATTGTTTTAGGTCAATGGGAACATTGGAATACAATGATGGACACATATGTTTATCCAGAGAATAGTACACCTGACTATAGTAGTATTTTGGTGCCCATTGTGGACAATGTAAGGATCAATTACTTGATTAACACAGTTGCAAAGCAGGAACGAGCTGTGTTGTTAATTGGTGAGCAAGGCTCTGGGAAGACTGTCATGATGAAAGCTTACATGAAGAAGGCCAATGCTGAGATTTACATGGGACGCTCCTTTAACTTCTCATCTGCTACCAGCCCCCTCCAGTTCCAGGTATAATGGTTAACAATCTTTGTATGGTTTTCACTGTAATGAAAACAATATTTGATACTTCAGAGAAGAAAAGTATAAAATTTTTAGCTGTAAAAGGAACCCAAAAGAAGTCAATGGAACAAAGGAAACAAATAGATGTATTCAGGGATTACATATATCCTTAAGCGCTCTTAAGTGTAATATTGAAAAGTATACTTATTGATTGTAGCAACAGTAAGCCAAATATGGCTCAGAGTGTTGCAAATAATATAACATTAGATGCAGACTTAATTTAGAACTGACTCAAAGATTCCAAGCCTCCTATCCAATGGCGACCAGGAACCATTTCCTTGGGGGTAAAGTGACCAAGGTGTAAAGCTGACCACTCACCTCCAGCCACTGCCGAGATCAAGAAGGTGTGGATCTATACATCCACTCCCACATATGTCCTCATGGCTTAGTGCTTAATTAATCAAGCACAGGGACAATTTTATCTTTACCTTACCTTATCTCCAAGATTCCGTCTTACTCACTCCAAAAAGAGCGCTTTCTGGAGGCCTGTCTTTTTGTTTTGCAGAAGACTATTGAGAGTTACGTTGAAAAGCGCATGGGAAACACATTTGGACCACAAAGCGGGAGGAAGATGATAGTGTTTATTGATGATGTGAATCTACCTGAGATCAATGAATGGGGAGACCAGGTGACTAATGAAATAGTACGCCAGACTATGGATATGAAGGGGTTCTACAGTCTTGAAAAGCCTGGAGAATTTACAACAATTGTTGACGTCCAATTCATGGCTGCAATGGGACAACCAGGTATATAATATGCAAATACTCAATCTCATGTTATAAAATAGAAGGTAATAGTTAACACATGGAGCCAGTATACACCAGAGATGGGCATATTAACAATATGTGGGTCACATGTGGCCTGTGAAGAAATTCAGTCTGGCCCACAGCATAATTTGGATATAATTTTATTAATTTTTATGTCTAATATATGGCACAAAGCATGTTGAGCCTATTGCAATTACAGGAAAATTGTGATATTTATGTAGATGAAAATTGTGGGTTCGTAGTATTTTTTTTTAATTTCATTTCATTTTTATTATCATTCAACACTCCATACGTACAGGTATTACAACCATTTTTGTAAGGGAAATTGTCAGTTTTACATCTAATTTCATGCATATCTTTACAGTATACACTGTACCACCCTAATATAGGGGGTTTGTCATCTGAATAATATTATCTAGATCTAGTTACCATTAATTTCATTGTCTTTACACAAATACAACAAATTAATCAGCTACATATTACATTTACACACTTGATGAATCAAAAGACATAAATTCATCTACACAATAAAAGGAATGTTTCGGCAAAAAAGATTTTAATTCCCTTTTAAATGAGTTAAAATTTTCCGTTTGTTTAATTTGATTGGGGACCTTATTATACAAACTAATTCCCACATTTATCACACTCCTCTTAAAAAGAGCTGTATTACAGTGCTGTACATGAAAATTTAATTTTCTTCATGTGTTATAATTATGAATGTCTGAATTTATTGCCATAAATTTTACAATTGGACGCATGAAAACTGGGCACTGCAGATTACATTTAATTTGTGAAAGTGCCACTAAGGGCTCAGGATAGTGTGGCTGAATTAATTATTTATAATATTATTATTGTTTTTCTTTTCATATACTAGGTGGTTCAAATATGACCGGGACTGATTTAAAAAAAAAAAAAAAACATAATTGCCAAACACTTACTTGCACATGTCAGTCTTCAACATACTCCCCTCCAGAGTCGACACATTTTTCCCAACTTTCTGGAAGCATCCTGATGCCCCCCCCCCAAAATACTTGTGGTTGGCAGCATATCCACTCTCGAACAGTCTGAATGATGGCATCGTTGTCCACAGACCACATGCCTTGCAAGTCTGATTTGAGCCTTCCAAACAGGTAGAAATCACTTGGGGCCAAATCAGAAGCAGTGGAAGCAGGCAGCAAGCTGAGTGAACCATGCATGGAAAATCTGGCCTAATATAGACCAGTTGGAGCCTGAAATAAACTGTGAGACAGCCAATGGAAGAGTGACCATTTTCTATAACAGGACTCAGAACCAGTGGGAAAAAAGCCTCCCTGGCAGGTGCTTGTGACATGGGTCTCCAAGCAGTTTTGCTATGTACATGGCCCTTTTCAGGGCACGGACTTGCCTCCTGGTCTCTCTTGGCTGTTTCAGTAATGGCTTAGTCTTTCAACCTCCTTAGTTTTTCCACTGCCTCTTGTTCCTCATATTTCTCTTATCCAGTGATAGAGGTTAGCTCTTTCTAAGGGACCCAACAAAGTAGGTGGCTCCTCCTTTACCTGAGTGCAGAAACAGAACCAGTTTCTGAATGTTGTGCTCTCTAGTTTTTAGAGTACTGGGCAATGGACATAGTCCAAAAACCCAGTAATTCTGACTCTTATTCCTCTTATCCCCACATAGCCACTTTCCTGAACTCATATGTGTGACTTCTCTCAAATTCTAACTTTATTTGGCATGCAGCTGGCCCTTTTCAGGTCTCACCCAAAGTGCCATTTCCTTCGTTCCAAATGGCTCTCTGAGTCTCCTTACAAACGATGGTCACTCTCCTGTTGGTTGTCTCACAGTTCATTGTAGGTTTGGGCTGACCTATATTAGGCCACATTTTTCAGAAACAGCTTGCCCACCTTGCTGCCTGCCCTTGGATGACTTACTCTTCAACCCTGAAGATGGAGGAAATATGTTTCTCTGAAGCATCGTGTTTTCTCCATACTACGCAGCGTTACAATCCGGGAGACTTTACTCTTCATAGTTTCCACCATAAGATCCTCCAATCCAGCAGGAAGGTCTAATTTTTCACTGTACAGTGAAAGATATCTATAATGCTTGTCTAGAAATAGCAAAATACAGAGAGACAAATTTAACAGCTCCTCCCCTCTTTACCCTACAGCTTGAGGGAAAGTTGCTGCATTTATCCCTGGTTCCGTCATTGTATTCTCAGCGCTCCCCAGTTGGAGTGTCCAAGCTTAGCTTTAGTAAGAAAGGACTGAATCCCCAAAATAAATATTTAATAGTGGTTAATAACGGTTAATAACAATGACAACCATAAAAAATAAGTAAGACTTAAACCATTACATTCAGATATGCATATGAAACAAATCTATGCCCTTGACCACCTTGGTCAGTCCAGACTGAAGCCCATAAAAAGAATACACACAAGGTAGCCACACAGAGCTGTCTATTTACCCCAAATGTAGAAAATGACCAAACTCACATAACATTGCTTGACAACCCAAATCGCGTTGTTATCCCATTATGTAGCCATACAATAACACTAAATGGGGCAGCAGCAAACCCAAACAAATCACAATATAATACCAGACAGACTCTCATCACAACATTCCCAATTAAAGAAAAGAAAAACTTGCATACCATGGCAGGCTGCACCATGGCTCAAGCAGTTAGTCACTGGCTTCCCACCGCAGCGGCCCGGGTTCGATCCCGGGTCTGGTCAAGTGGGATTTGTGGTGGACAAAGTGGCCCTGGGGCAGGTTTTCTCCAAGTACTTCGGTTTCCCCTGCCAATCTTCATTCCACCAATCACTCCACAATCACCCTCACCTATCATCTGGGGCTGGTACAGTAGGCCAGAAGTGGCCACAGTACAAGGGACTTAGTCCCACCCCACTAGCAATAAAATAAATACATACTGTGGCAACAAGGAGGCCCCTTGTCCTCAATGGCTGGGGTGAAGAATTCAAACATGAGTTAAAAGAATTTAGTGAAATACATTTAGCAACTGCTTCACTCAGCAGATGGCAAGCAAAAGATGGCTGTCTTGAAATTTCAAACTCAAATCATACAAAATGGGGTAATACAAGCCCAACCACGCAATTAAATTAAACCCCAGAAAAACCCTTGTTACAAAAATATATATATTTGGAAGAGATGTAATTTCACTTTTTTCAGGGGGTGGGCGCAATGACATTCCAGAGCGCCTCAAGCGTCAGTTTTGTATTTTCAATTGCACACTTCCTGTTGATGAAGCCATTGATAAGATCTTTCATGTGATTGGGGAGGGTCACTATAATGCTAAACGTGGCTTTAACTCTGAAGTTCGAAACCTCGTTAAGAAGATCATTCCACTCACTCGTCAGCTATGGCATAAAACCCGGGTGAGCATCATATATTGTTCTCATTTTAGTACTAGCAAAAAGTAATATCTCTTTTATTACAAAAATTTTGTAATCAGTCATTAAAATATGACAGGAATATAAAATCGCTTATAGAAGCAGTCTGCATATGTGTGAAAAAAGTGTTAAATCACATAGAGCTTCAAAAAACTTCACTCAATTAAAAAACAGTTAATATTCAAACATTTTCAATTTGTGAACTGGCAAAAGGATAAAATTAGTTACCAAAAGAAGTTTTGATAACAATATTAATTTTTTAACTTAATTATAGCAATGGCATTGTATAGTGCTGTTAGTTTCACTCATACTGGAAAACTCTCTTATAATCTTTTATGTAAAGGCAGATGTTCATCATCTTAACTATCTTCACAAGTTAGGACCTTAGGTCATGACACAAGTGCCTAATGTGTAACAAAGACATGGATTGTATGAAACATTGTGACAAGAATGTCATTTCCAACATCTCTGCATGTTTCTGATTCAGAAGTGTATGTGAATAGGAATACTGTACAATGGTTAAGGGGAATGGAGGAGGAGGAAGTAAAGGAACAGTCTGCTCTCATCCTGCAGTTCCCTAGCATACATAGTATTGAGTATCATTGAGTTGTAATTTTTACGAAAACAGATGCATGACAACAGTGGTAAAGTTCAACTGTGTATAAGTGGAAATTATTCTGAAATTTTATCATAATGAATAAATTAGCAGCAGTGAATCTTATGTAAGAGAAGAAATATAATGTATGAAATAAATAATATATTATTTAAAAACTATGGACATTACTCTGACCCTTGTCACTTATTTTTCTACAGGCATATCTTCTTCCCACTCCAGCAAAGTTCCACTATGTATTCAGTCTGAGAGATCTGTCCCGTATATGGCAAGGCATGGTGGGTACACTGTCCACTGTAATTGAGAATGAAGCTGTCCTCATGATGCTCTGGAAGCATGAGTGCTCTCGGGTTTTTTCTGACAGGTACAAACTGTTATAGTTGTTATCGTCTTTTGTCATAAAATTTATTCAGCATTCCAGAATTGTCTATAAGAACATGTTAAAATAATTGTTTAACTGTTCCAGCACTTTTTATTTATTAAACAAGAGTTCTGAAGAGCAGTTGGTATATTAATTGGTTTCTGACCTTTGAACCTCAGCGGGTTTAAATTGCATTGCAAATAGAATTTCATGAAATTTTTCACATTATTGAAATTAATAAAATAGAACTAGAGAATAGTTAATAACTATTCTTACAAAAAATGCTAGCTCCTACTTATATGAAATTTATATGTAGATATATTCCAATTTACATGGTAGGTGCACCGGCGAAGAAACTGTGTAATGCAGACATGCATAAATTTAAGATGTTACAGCAGATATAATGTTACCCTTATACATTTATAACAAGAAAAAAAGGCAAATGCACTTCTGGGATGATGTTAAAGAACTGTGTTTAATTTGCCTGTGATAATTGTAAATTTTGTAGGCATATGTAAGACTGTAAGTGGGCATTGATGTGGGAGATGTTGGTAGATGCCTTGTATTTAATTCAAGAGCACTTTTTAATGGGCCTTTTAACAGTGCTTTATGGCATCATAATTATTATTCCAAACAATGTGCTTATTGGAAAGAATTCCTGAACCACGTTGTGACACTTTTATTTATGATATATGTTGGTTATTTCCTTGAACATTTCTAGTGATTTGGAATGTCTGCCTTCCCCTGAAGAGCTATTTTGATGCCTGAATTTATACTATGCCTTTACATGAAGTTCACTGCTATATGGCGTTGTGACATAGGAGGTTGGATAAATCTATCAGTAATGCTCAATTATTGTGTATTATTATTATATTAGTGCATTTCCTAATATCGTTTAGTTAATGCAAATGCAAATGCTAAAGTAACTTACACTGGGGGCACTTCTGAAGGGAAGTATTTAGGGTTCAAGATGTGAATAACTGCTTGTCTTACACAGCTATCATTTGCAACATGCAGCAACAAAACACACAGTTGTTGTGATGTTCCCTGCAACAGTAGTATAGTAGAACTTTGGTTACAGTAGTAATTTATGCAATCGGAAAACTGCTGTTGATGCTTGGATTGAATTATGACATGTAGGTTCACATCACTCAAAATGTGATGTTATGGAAATGTAATATACTGTTCCTTGTTGAGCCTGCTATATCACTGTAAGGTATGCAGCTGACAAAGAAGGGATCTTCACCACACTATCAAAGGAATTACCAAAAAGATTATTGGCACTAGCAAATATTAGGGAAACTTAGAGCTTATGCCCATTTTCAAATGGCACAGGTGCAGCAACTGTTCATGGAGAAACTGCCATACTGCCATGCACACCACATGTTCAACTGCTTATACTTGATGGACACTGCTATAAGGATTATTATATATGCATCTCAATATGTATATATTTTTCCATATCAACTGTTCACCTATTTCTTCATCTTTCATGCCCTACCAGAGAATGGCTAACAGTTCCATCTTCCTGGTGCAACAGTTAATGATGTGAAATATGCATGTGTTTAATAAAAGTCTATGTTGAAAATACCTCCCCATGTACAACCTTATAGCTGCTAGACCATTAGTGTGGTCTTCACAGAGATTAATTGCATGTCTGCATTTTTTTTAGTGTTTAACCACAGTGTTTAACATTTTAACCACAGACTCACAAAGCAGCTACAACATTAAAAGAACATAAATTGACTGCATGTACAGTTCACTGGAAATGGATGTCTGATGTCATATGCTGGTGTATGTGGTCATCTCACTATCACTGTAAATATGACAACTGTGTTTTTCTCTTGAGTGGGGGAGGTAGTAGCGATAAAAGAAAAGTAGGCACTCACACATTCCACTTTCAACTCCGTTTTCCTTGCAAAATTGTCCCCAGCATGAATTGTTTTTCTAACCAAGGTTTTATTATCCATCTGTTGCTGGGAATAATTTTGAATGGCTCTGGTTCATTACTAAAGAATTTCCAGGGTCATGTTTATATAAACAATTTTCACTGCTTTAACCTTTAAACGACTAAAGACAACGTATGTCGTCGTTAAAAGAAAGTCCCCTGTACGAATGACGCCATATGGTGTCGCAGAGTCCGCGCGTGGCAACGTAATATAAAATTAAATTTTAAAGTAGAAAATTATGTCCTACTTACACAATTTTTGGCCACCATCTGCATGGAGTGTCTGTCTTCCCGCCTACGTCATCTGCCGGAATGTTGCCTTCGTGTGGAATTCTCAAAAAAATCCGGAAATGCAGAGTCCGATTTCGCAATTCACGTACTTTGTCCGTTCGATCTTTCGTTTCCCACGCGAAAAGCACACACGACACCTCAATTGCGAAGTGCAGGACGTCGGCCAGTGATGTGGTTTG